ATACTGTGTTTCCCCTTCCCGCCTTTCCCGCTGACCCTTGCCCCATAAAGATGTGACCTGGGGATTACTGTCTTAGGGAGAAGCTCCTTTGTTCTCCCGAAACCCTTCCTGATCGTTTCACTTGCATGGACCATATTGTTGATCCCCCCAACCCTGGCCCTCGGAGCAGACCAGCGAGGGGAGGAGGGTCAACAGAAACTCGGAAAGAAAAGATTGATTAAGTCACCCAGGTATCGTTGACCCCCCCGAGGTCCGATATCGAAAAAGCCTTTTCATATTTCCTCCAAATCCCATCACAGACCAGGAAACTCATTGTTCCCCTATCTGACACCCCGCCAGTGAGGACAATAGCCTCACATTCCAGCTGGCGGATGCCCCTAAGCTGATCATTTCCTCAGTCTTTGTCAAGCTTCGTCCCGCCTCCTAGCTGCCAATTGGTCCATCTTCAGAGGCGCTAGGAAGGCGCTGATTGGCCTCTCAGAGGCTGCGGAGCTCGCTGATTGGTCCAGAGGCGAGGTGTGCCGCCAAGCCTCCTCCCAGCTGTTCCGCGGCCAGCCAATCAGCGCGAAGCCGGCCGGCAGAGGGCGGGCGGGAATTTTGAAACTGTTTCCTTCTGTCTGCTCACTATAAAAATGCCTGGAAATTCTGTAAAATTATGCTTGTATGTGAATGATCACTACAATCGCATCCTTTTCAGCTGAATCGCAGAATAAACGCCTCGGTCACTGAACCTCTTCCGCCTCCGGTGAGATTAATTTTTAAATATTTCCGCATTCTTTGGATTGGCTTCGCTGGCCTCACCGAGGTTCGAGGACCCTTTTGGGCGGTCCTAAGGGATCTCTCCCGCTGGGAGACCCCCGCAAAAGAGCTCGATATCACAACCTCACCAGGAAAAAACTGCATCATGGAGAGTCTGTGTGGCAAGTTTAGTCCAGGTCTGTCATGTGTGGTGGTCGCAGAGATCTGTGGGAGCCAAATTGGGTGAAGGTACTGCAAATCCCATCTTCCATGGCCCATCCTCCTCCAAACTTCACCAAGATGCATACTGGGTCATGGAGGGTGCGCGGTCTTTCTACCAAGTGTGGTCATGATCCATCATTCATGGAGGTTAGAGTGATCTCTGTCCTCCTCCAAACTTCACCAGAACATATAGTGGGTCGGGGGGGGGGGGGGTCCTGTGTGCCAAGTTTGGTCCTGATCCGTCATTCATGGAGTGGTCTGGAAGTGAGTGACAGTACTGCACATCCCATCATCAGTGGCAAGTTTGGTCCAGAGCCACCATTGGGTTCACAATGCTCTCTGGATGTAGGTGAAGTACAACTCCTATAAATCAAGATCTGTTCCCTTCAAACCTGGTCAGAAGGGTTGTGCGTGCCACATGTGGTCCAGGTCCATTACTGCAGGGGGTCACAGTGCTCTGCCTTGATGCAGAGGAACTACAATTTCCATCTTGTTGAGTCAGTCCCCCAAACCCCTCCAGTCTGTTCAGTTGCTGATCAAATTCCTCTGTGTTTGCTGTGTGCCATAGGAAAGGGTCAAGGGAAAGGCAGAGGGCGGGGTCATGGAAATTCCACACAAGGAACCCTGGGATGCCTGCCTGTGGTGGAGGAAACATGTGAAAACTAGGATGAAATTGTCCCAGAATGGAAGTGTTTCTTGGGTAGTGGGCCGTAGTGTTTGGGGAAGACATTGGCAGATTTTCGGCTACATGTTCATGGCGTTCGTTGTAACCTGCAATGTCAGTGGAGGAAGTGCCTTTGGGGGCTTCTCAGCACTTGGAACTATAACCTGTTTGTGTAAGTGGACACCTCTGCCACATACACACATACATATTTTAAGTTTATTATGTGGATAGATAGACAGGCAGGCAGGCAGGCAGGCTGAGTTTGAAGAACAAAAATCCCCCATCTACACTGACCATTTAATGCAGTTCACAGCTAGCTTCAAACTGTGGCACCTTGACCACCAACTCCCATGAAAACGTGAGGGAAAAAGCCATAAATGTGCAGAAACCCACTTTATTCAATACAGCTTTGAAACTGCATTAAATGGTCAGTGTAAATGGGGCCTTTGACTCCTGTTTTAATGAAGAATCCACTCCGGGATGAAGAGCGATTACCAAAAATCATGGATAATTCAGGAAACCATTACAATAAACCATGTCTAGTCCCAGCACCCCAGAGATATCATTCCCGCAGTGAGGTGGGCTTGTCTGTCCTTGAAACTCTTTCAAAAATCTGCTTCAAACTGGCATGAAATAATTAAGGGAAAGGGAAAGGTTTCTCCTGACATTAAGTCCAGCCATGCCCGACTCGGGAGGGTTGGTGCTCATCTCCATTTCTAAACTGAAGAGCCGGCGTTGTCCATAGACATCTCTGAGGTCATATGGCCAGCATGACTGCATGGAGCGCCGTTACCTTCCCACAGAAGCGGCACCTATTGATCTACTCACATGTGCATGTTTTCACACTGCTAGATTGGCAGAAGCTGGACCTAACAGCAGGAGCTCACCCTGCTCCCTGGATTCGGATCGCTAACCTTTTGGTCAGCAAGCTATTTAACGCACTGCACCAGCAGGAAGGTGGGGGGGGGTATGAAATAGTTATTTATTTGTCGTGTCAGGGCAACCAGTCAATTATATTACATTTCTAACAGAACAAAGCAAACAAACAGACAAAATACATCATTTCATCATTTGTGAGTTTGGTAGTTGATTAAATGTCCTTTGACCAGTATCTGGCCACTTGGAGTGCTTCTGGTGTTGCTGCAAGAAGGTCCTCCATGGTGCATGTGGCAGGGCTCAGGTTGCATTGCAGCAGGTGGTCTGTAGTTTGCTCTTCTCCACATTCGCATATCGAGGATTCCACTTTGTGGCCCCATTTCTCGAGGTTGGCTCTGCATCTTGTGGTGCCAGAGCACAGTCTGTTCAGCGCCTTCCGAATCGCCCAGTCCTCTGTGTGCCCAGGGGGGAGTCTCTCATCTGGTATCACCCATGGATTGAGGTGCTGGGTTTGAGCCTGCCACTTTTGGACTCTCGCTTGCTGAGGTATTCCAGCAAGTGTCTCTGTAGATCTGATATCGAGCTCTTTTGTGGAGGGTCTTCCCAGCAAGGGAGATCCCTGAGGACCGTGCCAAAAAGTGCCCTGGATACCTTGGTGAGGCCAGCAAAGCCAATCTCAAATGATTAAAGTATTAAAAATAATAATAATACCCCACCAGAGTGGAAGAAGGTTTTACAAGCGACCGAGGCGTTTATTTGCGATTCAGCTGATATCGCATGCATTGCAGGAATCATTCCACCACAAGCATAACAGCTAGGGCAGTTACAAGCATATTTATAGACAAAATACAAAGGAAAGCATTTCAAATGTCCTGCCCTCCCTCTGCCCCTGGAGAGTCAATCAGCAGGCTTTCCTTACGAATCAGAAGCAGGCCAGGCGGGACAACCGCAGGCCATGGGGAAATGATGGGATTACAGATTGCCAGCCAGAATGGAATGCGAGGCTTTGTCTTGGCCGGCAAGGTGTGACCGCTGTAAACAAAGGTTTTCCTGTTGGAAATGGTTTTGGGGGAAGAAACAACAGGGTCAGATTGCGGACCTCGGAAAGGGATCAACGCTATCTTTTGTAATTTCAATCATTTTTTCTTGTTCTCATGAATTCCTTTATCTCACTAGACCTGCTCAGAGAATGAGACGAAGGAATCACGGCTATTGTTCCATGCGGATGAGTTAATCAATGGATGAGACAGGGATTTCCCCCCAAGCATTGCAACAGTTCCTGGTCACTTTTTGTAAGGGAAAGGTCAAGAGGGAAAAAGGGGAAGGCAGGGAAGCGGATAGCATCTCATGCATACAAAGTTCATATAAAAATTCCCTTTCCCACCCCACTTCTTTATTATTTTATTACAATATTGATTTATTAAAAGAACTGGAATCCCCATGCTCCTGGGGAAGGTTCGTGGAAGCGGAGGTGGTTTGCAGTCCAAGTCAGGCAGCAAAGAGTCATTTCTCCCTGCAGAAGTCAGCAGATGGGCACTGAGTTGATCAATAACAGAGTCCATCGCTCAGCCCTTGGGGAACTACAACTCTCACAAAAGGGCAGAAGTCCCAAGATCCAGCCATTTCCAAAAAGCCTCGTGGGGTCCTTGTTGTCGTCAGTGCCTTGGCAATGTGGCCAAGACTTAACCCTTGTCGTGTAGTCTGGTGCCCTTGCCCTTTGCAGAACTATAAGTCCTTATCCCTTAATTTTGAGGGGGGGAGGGTGGTGGTGCCTGACATCAGATCTTAGAAAACTATTTCTTGATTTAAGGTGTTGCCATGCTGGCTGATATCTGAACAGGGTGATGGGACTGGGCCAGTGGTGGGACAGTGATGGGACTGGACCAAACTTGGCACGAATACTCAATATTCCCAAATGTGAAAAGTGGTAGAGTTTGGGGAAAATAGACCTTGACATTTGGGGGTTACAGTTACTGGGATTTATAGTTCACCTACAACCAAAGAACATACTGAACCCCACCAACGATAGAATTGGGTCAGAACACCCATGACCAACAGAAAATACTGTATTTCTGATGGTCTTTGGCGACCCCTCTGACATTTCTCGCATTCCCCGCCCCCCAGGGGTCCTGACCCACAGGTTGAGAAATGTTGACTTAGAGTGATCATGCTCAGGTTGCATGCCCTTGGTTTTCAGCCCCCCCCCCCCACAAAAAAGAGAGAGACCTCCTGCTCAATCTCTCTCTAAGCTTTTGAGTCAAGAGTTTGGATGCAGAATGTAGACTTTGACTCTTTTCCCTTTGCTTGACTTTAGAAGAAATGGAGATTTATACAATATCTCTATTTACTCTCCGTTACAGACTCTCGGCCCCATCTTTTCTATCTGGAAATGGACTTCCATGTGGTTTCATAAAGTTTTTGAAAAATTTAAAGTAAACTCTGCACCTCATGAAATTCTGCTATGGGGAGATTTGCTCTTTCAGAGAAGTTGGACTTAAGCTGCAGGGCTGGACTTACAGGTTGCGGCCAGCCCTTAGAATGAATTGTGCCTGGAAATACACCAGTAGCCAAAGAAGCATTTTTAAGTTAGGGAGTTCTGTGCATAGAGAAGAGCTTGCATGGTGCCCAGGAAGACAGAGAAAAGGAAAAGGTTGGGCAGAGGCGGAGTCATCAGCTGCTTTCCAGAAAGAGAAAGGCTGAGAAACGAAAGTAATAAGGCGATTAGCTTTGTCTGGTCTCTGCAGCAGAGGAGCATTGGTAGGCAGATCTGGCCGGGGTGGTCCATGCCTTGGTCACCTCTAGAATGGATTACTGCAATGCGCTCTACGTGGGGCTGCCCCTGAAGACGGCTCGGAAACTTCAATTGGTCCAGCGGGCAGCAGCCAGGATGCTAACCGGGGCTCATTATCAAGAGAGGTCTACCCCTCTGTTTAAGGAGCTCCACTGGCTGCCATTTATTTTCCGAGCCCAATTCAAGGTGCAGGTCTCACCTACAAAGCCCTGAACGGTTTGGGACCACCCTACCTGCGTGACCGCATCTCCATCTACGAACCCACACGCTCGCTCCGGTCATCTGGGGAGGCCCTGCTCGTGATCCCACCCACGTCGCAAGCGCGCTTGGTGGGGACACGGGACAGGGCCTTCTCTGTGGCGGCCCCCCGACTTTGGAATGCCCTTCCAAAAGATCTCCGACAGGCCCCTACTTTAGCAGTTTTCAGAAGGAACCTAAAAACCTGGCTGTTCCGATGTGCCTTCTCAGATTAGGAATCCCCCATCCCAAGTCCTAGAAGCACTTTAGCACAACCGATGTTACTGCACACCGCACCTTTTAATCCATGTTCCTCCTGCCATTTCAGCATTTTAACCCTGTACCCCATTGCGCCGGCCGAACCAGTTTTAATTGTGTCTTGATGTAGTTATTGTTGTTATTTTGCTTAATTGTTTTGATTTGCTTGTTTATTATTGTGTTATGTTTTTATTGTATTGTGTTGAGGCTTCGGCCTGTGTAAGCCGCATCGAGTCCTGCGGGAGATGCTAGCGGGGTACAAATAAAGTTAATAATAATAATAATAGTCATGGCCTCTGGAGACCTTGTGAAGAAGCTTTGTGAGGAACTGGCCTGCTCCATCTGCCTGGAGTATTTCAAGGAGCCTGTGAGCCTCTCCTGCGGGCACAATTTCTGCCAAGCCTGCCTGGATCAAGGCAGGGAGGAGGAAGAGGCCTCCTGCCCACAATGCAGGGAGAAAGTGCAGAAAAGGGGCCTCAAGCGGAATTGGAAGCTGGCAAACTTGGTGGAGATCGCCATAGAAATGGAGAAAGAAAAGGGGAGACTCTGCCAAAGGCACCAGGAGCCCCTGAAGCTCTTCTGCAAGGACCATGACGCCCCCATCTGTGTGGTATGCGACAGGTCGAAGGAGCACGAAAACCACCAGGTGATCCCTCTGGATGAAGCATCAAAGGAGTACAAGGTAGGGCGGGGGGTTAAATAGGTACCCCTAACAAGGTGTTGTGGTACATCTCCACCCCATAATACAGGTCTGTGGCTGGAGTTCCATATTTCCCCAGGCTCTGATGTTTTCAGGGATCAAGGGTGCACCTACATTGTAGAATTAATGCAGTTCGATTCCACTTTAACTGGCATGGCTCAACGGTACAAATCATGGTAGCTGCAGTTGTATTTTGCATTTTCGCTGAAGTGTGCCACTGCCTTACCAAACCACAAATCCAAAATTCCATAGCATTGAGTCCTGGCAGTTAAAGTAATGTTAAAGTGTGTTAATTCTTCAGTGTAGATCAGATATGGGCAAGCTAAGGCCAGGGGGCCAGATGCAGCCCCCCCCCCCCCCCGGCGCTTGCCTCAGGCTGTCCTCGTTTTCTGTGTCCTCTTGACAAAAGGACACAGCAGCCATGTCCTTATGCCAAAAAAGATGGGGGAGGAAAACACGCAGCAGCTGACATAAGGATGGTGCGAGCGGTCCCGTCTTTATTAAAGGAGGAGAGCTCGAGGAAGGCATGCAGTGGCTGAGAGCCCTTTGGAGCACTCTCAACCACGGCCTGTCTTGCCCTCCTCCCGGCATAATGCCAAGAGGAAAGCCCAAGGCTCGTGGGAGGGAGATTGGGGGGGGGGGATCGGGGCAGTCCCGCCTTCCTCCTGGCGTAAGGATAGGGCGAGGAGTCCCATCCTTTTGCTGGGAGGACAACCTGAGGATGACCCAGGCCCTGCCCTGACCCCTCCTGACCCCACCCTCTCCTGGACCCTCCCACTTCAAAGAGTGTGCCTGGCCCCCTCCCTCCCGGCCTGGCCCACAATGCGACTCCAAGACAAAAAAGTGTAGATGCACCATGAAACTTGAGCAACAGATACAAAAAGATCCCTGAACATTAGCAGGATCTTCCTGATGGTAACGCAGGAGAAACTGCTGCGAGAACACAGCCATACAGCCCGAAAACCATACAACACCCCAATATTTGGTTTGATTGCACAAACCAGCTATTCCAGTGCAGTTGCGTTCTCTCTGATAGCAGAGTGATACCAAATTGAGGAGTTTTATATCGCACTTCTCTTCATTGGTTCAGTTCTGCCAATTCAGCCATTCAGAGTCCCATGAGCAATTTGAGCAATTTATATGTGTGTGTGTGTGTGTGTCAGACAGTATTGGATTAGTGAGGAATAGTGGAAAGTGTGAAGAGGAAGAGAATCCCATCTTTTGATGTGATCTTGCTCCCATCATGCTGGCACAGAAGGGGATGGGACACATTGCATCAAAGTAAGAGACAGGAATATTGCGGGATTGTGAGCTATAGGTGGATTTTCACGGACAATATCTAGGGAGGGAGGGGGCAAACCGGCACCAGGATGAACCTGGCATCATACAATAAGGATGCAATGTCACTTTGCCTGCCTCCTGCGATAGCATCCATCAACTGCATCTCCAAAATAACATTGATTAGTAGAGGAATAAAACCTGGGATTTTCAGATACCTTTTTTTCATTTGGAGGGACTTTTTATGAGTAAAGATAATTGTGGAAGCAGTAGTAACAAAAGAAGAGTGGGCTTCCAATAGAGGCCAACATTGTCCAAAGCACCCATAAAATTCAATAAATGTGGTATGGTTGATGGTATGATCTTTGAAACCATTCTAAACCTTGACGAAAAGTAGTGACCAAGAGCTTTCTTTTCCTCTTCAGGATCAGATTTGGAATTATCTGGAGACTCTGAAGAAGGAGAGAGAGAAAATTCTGGCCTACAAAGCAGACACAGCACGAGAAAGCAAATATTTGCTCGTAAGTGGCATTGCTACTTGGTATATGACCTCCACAGAGAGCTAGACAGGGGGAGTGTGTCCTTGTTGGTTCTCTTGGATATCTCAGTGGCTTTTAATCCCATCAACCAGGGTATCCTTCTGGATCGGCTCTCTGGAATGGGTCTTGGGGGCATTGCTTTGCGGTGGCTCCGCTCCTTGGAGAATCACACCCAGTTATTGAAGGTGGGGGACCCCTGGCCTTTGACCTGTGGGGGTCCTGCAAGGTTCCATTCTATCCCCCATGTCTGGATCTGTAGCTTTCTGGTGAAAGAATTGCCTCACAAACAAAGTTGGAAGGCTTTAATTCAAAAGCATGCAGTAGGGGATGCAACAAAATTCCAACTGCCAGTTTATTTCCCCCACGCCACCTATCCTTCATGTTGGCCCTTTCCCTTCATTGTCCCATTTCCATGGCAACCTTCTCCCTTGTTTCAAATATAGACAGGCCAGATGTAAGGCACGGCCTAATTTCCTGGCTTCACACGAAACCAGGAAATAAGGTCATGACACCCCATGCTTTTTAACATCTACATGAAACCACTGGGTGAAGTCATCCAGAGTTTTGGAGTTTCGTGCCATCTGGTCAGTCACGAGGCCAATCGGGGTATAGGGTGGCAACCTATGCTCAATGAGGTTACACTCCTCCCAAGGTCACAGGTCCACAGTCTGGTGGTCCTCCTGGATTCAGTGCTGTCACTTGATGCTATCAGCAGTGGCTGGGAGGGCCTTCGCACAATTAAAGCTCATGTGCCAGCTGTGACCGTACCTCAACTTGGCCAAGGTGGTCCATGCCTTGGTTACTTCTAGATTGGATTACTGCAATGCGCTCTACATGGAGCTGCCTTTGAAGATGGCCCGGAAATTGCAGCTGCTGCAAAGGTCAGCAGCCAGGCTTCTAACCAGAGCGAATTATACGGAGCGCACAACACCCCTATTAAAGCAGCTCCACTGGCTGCTGATGTGTTTCTGGTCCCAATGCAAAGTGCAGATTATTATCTATAAAGTCCTAAACAGTTTGGACCCCACCAATCTTTGTAACTGCATCTCTGCCTATGAACTGGCGTGGACTCTAAGATCTGCCAAGGAAGCCCTCCTCTAAGTCCCACCAATGTCACAAGCATGATTTGTGGTGCCCCCCCCCCCAATTTTGGAACACTCTCCCCAGGGAAATCAAACAAGCCCCTACACTGTCCTTGAAAACCTGGGTGTTTCAGCTAGCATTTGAGAATGAGTAGTCCCTAGTGACATATGCCCAGTCCCTAGTTTGCCAGATAGTTCTCTGGTCTCTGCACTTCATCCAGCTTCCAGGCCCTGTGGTACGCCGCTTTGCACTATCCCATGTTCACACAGGCTAGAAAAAGTATTTTTGGTTTTTGTCGAGCATTGTTTTGATGGTGCTGCTTTATATTCTTTTTTATACTCTATTTAACTTTGTTCTTATCTGGATTGTTAGGGAGATGGTGGCAGGGTATAAGAATACAGTTGCTATTGTTGTTGATGATGATGATGTTGTTGACTTGAATGTGAGTCTGAATAAACTGAATTTCTTTTTTCAAAAATATCTCACATTGTAAGAGACATGGCAGCCTACAGACAATACTGACCCAAACCCATTCCAGTGGCAGGCCCTTGCAGGCCTTCACAAACCGCTTTCACCACTGGATATTGACTTTTTCTTTGTGAAGAGATGTAAGCTCCACTTCAAAGGAATGTGGAGAATTCACTCCAAAGACCCCCTTTCTGCCTCTCACAACTGTTTCTCCTTTCCTTTTTTCTAGGAGAAAACCCAGAGAGAGAAGGAGAAGACTGTGGCTGCATTCAGGTTCATGCACTGCTTTCTAGAAGAACAAGAGAGGAATCTGCTGGCAAAAATGGAAGAGGTGGAGAAGGAGATTTCAGCCAAAGAGGAGGAACATCTGGCCAGACTCCCCGAAGAACTCTCCTCTCTCTCAAAACTCATCCAAGAGATGGAGGAGAAGCATCAGCAGCCGGCAAGTCAACTCCTCCAGGTAAGGCCCATATTGTCCCCATGGATGGCTGAGACAGTGACACTTCAGTTTTCTCATAGTTCTGTGTGCACAAACTATTGTGTGACATTACCTTTGTGCTGTGTTTACAAGGCAAAGAAGAAACATAAATGAATTTGACACAAGCCACAGCCGACAGGGAGCTCTAGCGTGGAGTGGTCCATGGGGTCACAAAGAGTCGGAAGCGACTGAACGAATAAACAACAACAACACTAGCTTGGGTTCCACCTCTAAGAGATACGATCGGTCTGGTGTAAGTTTTTCAAGCTGTATGGCCATGTTCTCACAACCTCTGAGGATGCCTGCAATAGATGCAGGCAAAACATCAGGAGAGAATGCTTCTGGAACATGGCCATACAGCTCGAAAAACGTAGAGCAACCCAGTGATTCCAGCCATAAAAGCCGACAACACATCAGATCAATTGATCACACAAAACATCTCAAAAATTGTACACAGTCTGGCTGCAGAATTTATTTTAATCAACTTTCAGAAAAGACGAATACATCATTTTTGACATAATCATCTATCAATAAGCTTTTGCATTCCCTTATTAAAAATGAACGAACCACGGTCTTCACCACTGTCTACACCTCTACATCAGACATGAAGGGCTTCTTTCAGGGGTCCAAATCGGTGATAGTCCAATGGGAAAGTTCAGAACTATAGGCAGGATGTTTAACTTTTCCAAATGCCTCTGCTGGGTTCTTTCTTCCCTTCATTTACAGGATATCAGAAGCACCTTAGAGGGGTAAGTTCGTTTCCTCTCCTCCTCTCACTAAAGCTCAGATTTCAACACGAAATACACAATTCTCAAAAGCAGCAGTGCATTGCAGGAGTCTGTGTTTCGCTGGTGGCCACAGACAGAATTGGACTGGATGGCCAACAAGATCCCTTCAATTCTGTAATTCTGTGCTGCATTAAAGCAATTTGACAACAACAACAACAACAGCAACAACTTAAATTTGTTGTACACCTCCCCTCAGGACTTGAGGCAGGACACAATCCAGCCAAAGCACATCACTATGAATACATACCATAAAATGGGAACACTATCAGAAAACAACATATACTAAAATACATGACACAAGGATTCAAATGCTGTAACAACAGAATGTAAAGTTCACAGTTTGAAATTGTCTTGAACTGCCATGGCTCAATGCTTGGAAACTAGGCACCAGCACACTTTGGCAAAGAAGGCCCCGTAAATGATTACATAGCACTGAGCCATGGGAGAGTTAAAGTGGTGTCAACCTGCATTCGTTCTGTTTGTGCATCCTCGGAGATTGTTCTTTCTCCTCCAGGTACAAGAACAAGGAGGCATTTGAGACTTCTGCAGCCTTTCCTCCTGCCCTGAAGTGGAAGATCTGGGACTTCCGTGATATCAATCCTTTTCTGGAGGGTGTCATGAAGCAGTTTAGAGGTAAGGGAGAATACCTGCAAGGCTCTTCATGAGATGTGACATTGGTCTGAAAGGGGGAAAAAGTTCCAAAGCATTTGGAAAGTTAGAGCCACTATTGGAATGCCAAGCGAAACAATTTCAAATGTGAAACAAAATCGTATTATTTTCTGTATTAATTTATTCAGGACTGTTTCATTATCCAGGCGAGGGAATATTATTGTTGTTGTTGTTGTTGTTGTTATAATTATTATTTTACTGGCACAAAAAGACAGTATGTCACAGCAAACGAGATCTGTATGCTGGATTTCGTATCACAAAATCACAAGTTGAACACTTCCCAAGCGTCTAGGACTGTGTGATGTATTTTTGAATGATGTGCACAGATCCAAGTAAGGTGGCTTTTTGCAGTTGACAGGTCGTGATTTTGTCAATGTTAATTGTTTCCAGATGCCGGCTGAGATCTTTTGGCACGGCACCCATTATTATTATTATTATTATTATTATTATTATTATTATTATTATTATTAATAATAATAATAATAATAATAATAATAATAATATCCTGCTTTATTTCCCCCGAAGAGGACTCATTGCAGCTTGAGGGTTGAAGGAGTTAAACCATTTCCCTCCACCCATGTTGCCATCGCCAAAACAACCATTGCTTATGATATGGTGAAGGAGGAGGGGGGAAATAACGGGGAAAACTGTTTCCCTCCTTCAACTTCCCCAGCCTCCCCCTGCCCATAAAATGGACTATCCTTCTCTGTCTAGGCCCATTTTGGAGTCCACCTGGATCATGGAACAGTGCCATTTGTTTTCTTTTCCATTTTATTTCAAGTGTGGAATCACATTTCAGTTGTGAAGCAAAACAAAATGAAAACTGAGAGGACCCCGATCGGCCTTACTCTGGTTCATGCAACCTGCAATTGTGAGAACTGGTTGAGTACAAGTTGCACATTAGGAAAACCGTATGTTGTGGGGCACCCATTACTTTATCAGCAAGCTGTAGTATTACGTGGTCTTGATTCAAAGGGGAATATGAACATTGGACAGCCAATTCGCAGGAGTGAAGGATGGGGCATCTCCAGGCAAAGGGGGAACTGTGGTTTTAAAAAACCTGAGAGAATACCAAGAAATGTCTAGGGCCCCTTCTACACTACCATGTAAAAGCCATATTATCAAAAGAGATACTACTACTACTACTACTACTACTAATAATAATAATAATAATAATAATAATAATAATGAGGTTAGTTTGTATCCCGCACCTCTTCCCAAAGGGACACAGGGCTTTCAACAATAAACAAATACCATAAATAATATAGCACTGACAATCGTCACATATCATTTAATACAACAAAAAACAATAGCATAAATATTAGTAAAGCAAATTTTAAAACTTGCCCTCTTAATACAGTAGAAATATATGCGCCATTGAAAACAAGCCACTTCCTATGATCAGGATATCCAGCATTGCGGGTTATAGTTAAGCCATTCAAGTCATGTCCGCTAAGGTGGTTAATGCTCTTCAGCATTATCAAAAGCCTGCTGGAATAGCCAGGTTTTTAACTCCTTCCTGAAAAGTAAAAGACTGGGTGTTTGCCTATTTCCTTGGAGAGGACCAAGGAAATAGGCAAGAGTTGGGGGCCACTACTGAGAAGGCCTCTCCCTTGTCCCCACCAACCTCACTTGTGAGGGAAGTGGGATCGATAGGAGGGCCTCCCTGACTGATCTTAAGGCCCGAAATAATTATCTGCTTTGAACTGGAATATATGAGTATACACTGCCATATAATCCAATTCAAAGCAGATAATCGGAATTTATATGGCAGTGTAGAAGGGACCTAGGTTACCAAGTAAGAAGTTGACCATCTGAAAGAAGTTGCACTTGGAGATTCTTCGAGAGCTGTTCTCTGTAGGGATCTCTATTCCCCCAGCATGACATTACAATTGAGTCACTCTGGAGGGGACTTGGAGACTCCCAGAGATAACGTTTTGATCAATGAGATGTAACTCTCCGCGAGTAAAATCGCACTACCTCTCTTGGGTGCAGGATGTCAGCCTTCCTGTGTTGGTTATCCCTGGGTTTCTGAGAGTCACCATGTTGTGCGAAGCCTCACTCTCTTTTCTCTCTCTCCAGCCTCTCTGGAATCTGGCCTTCAGCAGCAAAAAGGTAAACAAACAAACAGATTTTTTCACAGAAGGTTGTATTGAGGCCGAGAGAGTGGAGTGCGGTTCGCCTGTCTGAGTAGATTTTTAAAGCTCTGAACAAATGGCATGTGTCTGGATTCTGTATAGAACTCCCAAAAGGGTGTCAAAATAACCCAAACACTGACTTTTTCTGGCTCTTTGCTTCAAGCTTATTTTAGTGGCGCACATTATGCACCCCTAGATAAAGAATGAGTCTCCTTCCCCAATGTGAGATATGTGGGAATTTGATAGTGGCATAAAGCCAGGTGATTAGTCTGCCCTTAAATTCTTTATGACTTCCGGTAAACCGAGACGATCCTGTCATAGGGTTTCCTGGGGTGGAGAGTGTGGGATTGGCACAAGGTTACCCAGTGGGTTTCCATGACGGAGGGGGATTTGAACCCGGGTCCCTAGAGTCACAGTCCCATCACTCCATGCTCAAAGGTTGGCCGTAGGAAGAAGAGTAACATAATGTAGAACCAATCTAGATTTGAGAGGGCAAGAGAATATTCCCCTGTCATTTTTAAAGAGTCAGAGATGGAAGCTGATCTTCCATCAGTTTATCCTTCCTTCCTTCCTTCCTTCCTTCCTTCCTTCCTTCCTTCCTTCCTTCCTTCCTTCCTTCCTTCCTTCCTTCCTTCCTTCCTTCCTTCCTCCCTCCCTCCCTCCCTCCCTCCCTCCCTCCCTCCCTCCCTCCCTCTTCCTTCCCTTTTTTCCTCTCTTTTTCTTTTTTCTCTTTCTTTCTTTCTTTCTTTCTTTCTTTCTTTCTTTCTTTCTTTCTTTCTTTCTCACTTCACCCTGATCTGCTTCTACCACCAACAGCATACGTGACTCTGGATCCAGACACAGCCCATCCTTGGCTCATCCTCTCTGAAGATCGCAGGCATGTGACACGTGGAGAGAAACGGCAAGATCTTCCTGACAATCCTGAGAGATTCAATCATTATCCTTTTGTGCTGGGACAGGAGGGATTTACTGGGGGCAGGCATTTTTGGGAAGCGCTTGTGAAGAATGAGGAAGAATGGTTCATGGGGGTTGCCAGAAAGTCTGTGCAGAGAAAGGGCGCAATTCCCTGTTCCCCTGGCACTGGGATCTGGACAGTGGGAAAGGCAGGAGGTAGAGGTGTGCCCCCATCTCTGACTCGGAGCGAGGAGCCCAAGAGGGTCAGAGTTACTCTGAACTATGAAGGGGGTCAGGTGGCCGTTTACGATGCAGACTCAGCAGCCCTGATCTTGGAATACCCTCCAGCCTCTTTCTCAGGAGAGACCCTCCTTCCCTTCTTTTATGTGAATGAAAAAACCCAACTGGAGCTCTCTCCCTAAGGATGGAGCGCAACGCCCAAAGATTCCCACCAGCCAAGCTTTATCTCCAGAGATGTGGGGCTGTGGGTTGTTTTTGCTCTCTTTCTGAAGCCTCTCTGCTCTCTCTTTACATCTGTGTGAAAACCTGACTGGGAGGCTGGAGTGTGAATGATGAAGCCACTCCTCATGGCAGTGCTCCACTCATGGGTCAGCCGGGGACTTCTTCCTCCCATTTGGAAAGCCCAGGTACAACAACAACAACAGAGAGGGAAGAAAAGATCCAAATCTGTTTTTTTTTTTTTGTCAAAAATCCCATTTATTGAAATTCAGTTGTAAGTCTATTTGCTCTTGCAGGCATGTAGCCTGCAATTCTCATGGTGGTTCGCGAAAAGGCCTTACTGGTGGATTACTTAAACTGTTATGTTTATTCATATCATGATCTGATCACCATACTCAATATATCCCATATGGATGGGGGTATTGGGGTAATGATACAAAAGGTTTGCTAGGGTAGACCCTCTTTCACTCAGACTCAGCCCCCCCCCAACCCCCCCCCGAAAAAAATCCCCCCCCCCCCCCGAAATGAAATCCTGGCTATGGGGCTGTGCTCTTGCGTTTCCTGGCGTTTCCCAGGGATATAGGGAGGATTTGGCTGTGATAAGCCTTGTCTCATCCCCTTGCCAACTTGGAGCCATGTATTTCCTTCTTCTGTCCTCTTAGTGGCCCTTGTCCTGAGTAAAAGTTACGCATTTGGAAAATCCAGTGTTGTGGTGCTCCGACTTCTTTATGAACAATCCATAGTTTTTCATGATCTGTACAATCAAAGGCTTTGCTATAAATGATAAAGCACAGATTGATTTTCCTCTGAAATACTTTTCTGCACTCCATTATGTTACGTATGTTCCAATACGATCCTCTTCATTTTCTGAACGCAGCTGGAACATCTGGCATTTTTACTCTGTATATAGTAAAAAACTTTTTTTGGTAACATTTGAGTGTTTTATTTATTTGTATTTATTTACTATATTTATACCCCACCTTTCTCTACCCCAGAGGAGACACCTTTTCGCTCTTTTTCCGAAGGTCAGGAGTATCACTTGTTTCATCTGTGGGAGATCAATGCAATGGTCCTTCTTGTCCGAAATCTCGGATCTCCCACCGTGCCTGAGCTCTAATTGATCCACTAAAAACATGCATGGATGAAGGCAGGATCAGAAATGGTTTTATTAAGATTTTTTTTTTGTCGTGTCAGGAGTGACTTGAGAAACTGCAAGTCGCTTCTGGTGTGAGAGAATTGGCCATCTCCAAGGACGTTGCCCAGGGGACGCTTGGATGATTTGATGTTTTTATCATCCTTGTGGGAGGCTTCTCTCATGTTCCCGTATGAGGAGCTGGAGTTGATAGAGGGAGCTCATCCACCTCTCCCCGGATTTGAACCTGCGACCTGTCGGTCTTCAGTCCTGGCGGCACAAGGGTTTAACCCACTGCGCCACCAGGGGCTCCTGTTTTATTCAGATGCCCAGGTTATATG